CAGTGTCACCGAGCACTCGGCAGCATGCCAGAGATTCTCCAGTAGCAGAGAAAACGGCTGGCTGAAGTAGTGATACTTTTTTCAATGTTAAAAGAAGCTCACATCCAGCTCCAGTTTCTTTAGCCCATAAAGTTCTTTTCTGTCTTTTTTATTTGACTTTTTTGGTGTTTCTGGACCAGTTTATTCAATTTTAACTAACCATACCACCAGTTTATGTAAGTTTTCATCTTGGTTTAGCCAAATTTTAGATTGTTTTAAAAAAATTTGTCTCCTGTGTTTTGTGTTATCTTATTTTTAGTTTTGATTAGAAAGGAATGAACGTATTCGTAACAATATTCCTAAAGTAATACAACAGATTTCGCAAGAAAATTTTGATAAGAGATATTACAGAAGATCATGATTTGAAAACTCTGTAAAAGCAAATATGTTATTTTGTAAAAAATGTAACAAATAAACTAAAAAGGAATGTTTCAGTCCATAGAATCGCCTATATTTTCAGTTTCCCGCGTAGACAGTTCTAGTTTTTCACATTTTTCCCTCGCGCACGCATAGTTTTGCCTTCTGCGAAGTCAAATTTTAAGCAAAATCGTCCTCTTTTCTCCGACTCCGACGGGTTCAGAAATAGGTTCTGCACGAACGAGTTTCAAGCAAAGTCAACGTCACCAATCGCGCTACAGCACATCAATTTACCGTCACAACACAACAATAATATGGAGTTGTTTGTGAAATCAATGTGTATGTGTGTGTGCGTGTGTGTACACAAGTCAGTCAGCTTTCACATATTACAATTAGTCGTTAGCATCAACGGTGTTAGGCAGTTAGTTAGTTGATCGTCTCTGGAGGAGCTCGTTCTGCGGGCAATCCTTGTGTCCCGGCTCAAATGCACCAGCAGCAGCAACAGCCACCGCCGCAACAGCACAGCTTACACCCGCACACACACCCATAGTGTACTGGATCAACAGTTCACCCCCTTCCCGTCAATCACAAACTTTCAAGACCTACCCCCTCCCCTTTTTTTGTATCCTACATTCAGCTGTTATCATTATTCTCTTTCATCCCAGGCCTCATCATTCAAAAATAATGTAACATCCGGTTTTTTTTTTCCCTCCAAACCTCTTTCGAAATACAAGATATGTTGTATGTTAAACTTTTGACATTGACGAAACGTTACGCTAATTCCTTTTATACATCTTTATATTTTAATCATAATAAATTTTTATTTTAACTACTACTGCTCTTAATTTATACAAATATTTTAACTGCTACTGTTAACTTATCAGCACCACATCCTTCATACTGACGAAGACAAGTTATGGTTTTGGACAGAATTGTGTGACTGAATGAACCGAGACAACATATCTATTCATTTGATTGATTTTGTAATATGTATTTCATCACTGATATCTTCATGAGGGTGTACCGGCTGACATGGCGCAGTGGGAAGTAGCACTATTGTCCAGTAGCTTGAGGGTTCGACTCCGCCCTGGGAGTGACCAATACTTCTATGACTTGTTGGTCCTTTTTAATACCAAATTGATAATTGGCCTATGTCAAGTATCCAAACCCGCTATCAACTTGTTTGTAAGCAATTCTCCGAAGAAAGAGCTATCGATAGCCTTACCAACGGGTAGTTGCTGTTAGCACTTGCTACTGCCATTCGGGCTATTTCTGACTTTCTTTACCTTTCATAACCCAGATTGGGATGCACCAGGCTTGCCGGTGCGACCATGCGTCTTTGCACCAGACTTGAAGTACTCAGGTTGTTAACTGCATAAATGATTGTTGCTTTACGCCAACTTTGTGCACGTACTAGCTTAAATTATCACAAATTTTGTATATAGGCACGTACTTCCGAAGTTTCAGCCTTCTAGTTTTTCTGGTTCTCGAATTGAAAGTGGATGACAAAAAGTGCGAACACACAGAAATATATATACACAGGCAGCCTCCTGTGTTATTGCATTTGCATGCATGCAAAACGTATAAAAAGCGAATACGAAGGGAGTTATAACTTTGACTTGATATTAAATTGTGTTGCATTAATTTTCACTTACTCTGATCAGCTACGGTTCATGGCGTCTTTCCCCAGCTAATCTGTAGCTTGCTGACAGTCCTTGCATTCGCCTTATATTTCTACATACTCTTTGATATTTTTCTCTCCTTCCATATCAATATTTCCTAGATAATCGATGTAGAGAAATCCGGCCTTAGTGATGTTACTGGAATGTTCTAGACGTGTCAGCGCTTCTGTCCTGGATCTTGTGATTCTCGTCTGTATATTTTCAATTGTTGCCCACTGCTTCTTTCGTACCATCTCTTCGGAGACTATCTTAGTGATCATTTTTTCCCGTTTTCTGTGTTAATGATCGCCCCTTTTATTGAGTGAAGGATGTATGTATTGTGCATGGGTTCGTCAGTTATCGGACATAGGTGCTGTTGGTATATTTCGTGCGCATCCACTCATTGTGGCAGTCGTCATGAGTGGTTGATTTTATTGGTTGGGTGAGGTATGCGCGATGAGGTAAGGTCAGCGGAGTAATAGGAGCTAATAAGCGAAGTTCGCTATTCGTCCCAGTTCCAAACGGAACGCTTAACGAACTTTCAAACTGTTACACTGCTTGTTCACGTATTATTGCAATGTTAGTTATGGCTCTGCTGGACAATACATCGGCTGAGGTGGTGAAGCATCCGTTGCCGGCGGGCATTCGGCGACAGCTAATCGTCCTTCGGCTCTT